GCTGTGTGCTGTGAGCTGTGTGCTGTGTGCTGTGAGCTGTGTGCTGTGAGCTGTGTGCTGTGAGCTGCGAGCTGTGTGCTGACTCTGCTAGCCGGGTTCACTGGGGCAGCAGCACAGGCAGGCTGAGTAAAGTAGGTCACGGCAGACAGTTTTTTCAGGAGAGATGGGCACAGGCAGCACTGCCAGGGGGGGGCGGCTATTGTACGGCAGCGTGAGAACCGGGCGCTGGCCCAGCCGTGGCCGTGGCGCCGGACAAAAGGCTGGGTGGGGAGTGTCAGCCGCCCTGCAGGGGAGGAGCAGTGGGATGAAAGAACCGAAGAGCTTGATCTTCCGCGCATCCGCGTGGCAGAGATGTGAAATACCCTCTTCGGTTCTGGAATACTCTTGCCTGCGCAGCCGGAACAGGTTTTGACAAGCTTCCAGCTCTGACACCTTGAAGGACGGGGGTGTATTGCAGTAGTCTGGGGGGAAAAAGGAACCAGCCTGGTTATGGATGACGAGAGGGATTGTCCAGCCATCCACTTTCTGACCGCTTCTTCCAGCTCAGGGTACCAGGGGAGCCAGAGCCTATCCCAGCAAGCAACAGGTGCAAGGTGAGGTGTACCCTGGACAGGATGCCAATCCATCACAGGGCAGACAGACCCTCTGGGGCCAATTATCCTAGAAGCCAATTAATCTACCAGCATGTCTTTGGACTGTGGGAGGAAACCCCATGCAGACTCCACACAGACAGCAGCCCAGATGCAGAATTGACCCCAGGGCCCCAGTGCTGCGAGGTAGCACTGCTGACCCCTACGCCACCATTCCACCCACATTCGGACTAATATCCCCATTAGTCTCTATATTATTAATATGTACTACTAGTTCAGGGACACAGCCAGTAATAATCGGCCACAGCTCTTGTTAGAGAAAGACAGATGGGGTTCATGACCTAAATGATTAATAAATGAATTCATCCTCAGCAAGGCTCAGTCTGGTCAGGACTGGAATGGGAAACGCCCAAGGAAAACCAAGTTGCTGCCGTAAATGGTGTTGGTGGACCAGTAGGTGGAGCTCTTCCCTCTGGCCCAGAAAGGAAAGTGGGGATACCGCCCTGTAGGAGGAACTATCCAGCAGATGAGATGTTTAACCTAGGTTCTGATTACTCAGTCACTGAAACATCCCAGGGCCCTGGGCATAAGTGTAGGAATGTTACCACAGTGCCCAGGCTGAATTCCACTGTGGTCCTGGACCATCTGGCCTCTCTGAAGTCCTACATCTCTGCCCCATCTGTTGTGCAAATCAGGCTGGTGTAATATAATGGTCGATAAGCATCACCCAAGTGGATGCTGCACTATACTGGTAGACACAGTGGGTCATCTCCTATGTTGTAAAGCACTAGACAACAGTCAGCAGCTATTATAATCTTAATAATTGTCACCTAAAGACCCGGTGAGATGTTAGTGGACTACCATCTGAAACTGCAAGACCTAAAAAAGGTCTCGTATCAGAATCTTGCACATTTTCACAACATCACGGGCTGATGGAAATGGCTTACTGGCTTTAGAAACATCTACAAATCCAGAACACACACACACAGGGACTCCTCTTGGACTGCAACGGCTGAATGTGTGCCCATATTTAATAACAGCAGAAAATAATCACGGCAAAGGGTCCCTAGACGACACTGAAATTCTCTCTTCTGCAGTGACACCATTTTGCTCTGGGTCTCAGCCCTGGTCCATGTTTCCTATGGTTTTGCTTTCCAGCTGCTCTTCCACTTAGAGCTCACTTAAGTTACAGTTTAGCCTCATAACTGAACCTCTTGTTCAATTAGGCAACCAGCTTCCTAAACTGGTTCAGCACTCAGTCAGGGGCTTCAGGAATATCCCAGGTTCCGTCACCTGTACTCTACAGTAACCTGTACAGCAGGGTACACACAGATTCATCAAACAGAACTGTTCTTACCCAGGCTTGCTTAGGAAACTGCTCGTTTATTTCTGCCTAGGGAAAAAACACAACAGCTGACCAATCACTGGCGTCCAGACACAGGGAGTAAAGACATGGTATCCCATGAGTCCCCTCAAGTGTCCATTGTGTGGTCATCATCATATCCCATGAATCCCCTTAAGTGTCCATTCTGTGGTCATCATCGTATCCCATGAATCCCCTTAAGTGTCCATTCTGTGGTCATCATCGTATCCCATGAATCCCCTCAAGTGTCCATTGTGTGGTCATCATAGTATCCCATGAATTCCCTTAAGTGTCCATTCTGTGGTCATCATCGTATCCCATGAATCCCCTTGCAAGTCTATCCTGTGGACAGGGACCTGGTTGCTGACACACCACACACCTTAAACCTAGAAACTGGTGCATAATTACCCATCCAACCTGTCAAGCGTCTTCATGGTCAATCTGGCACTGGAGTGATCAGGTGATCACTAAGGATAATGGATAAGTGTTTAGCTGGAATGTTAACCAACAGAAGGACTGCTTCAGTGTACCAAACCCAACAATAGTGCTGACAGAAAGACATGTACAGCACAGCAAAAGGCAACAAGCAACACATTGCATATCAGATTTCACAGCCACCATTTTGCCCCTGGCCCGATATGAAAGCTGCTTTTATGGGCTCCAATACAGTAAAAATCTCAATCCGATCCCTCTGAACATTTACAATGTTTCTCTGTTCATGAACAGCAGGCTCAGTTTACCCCTTTCTGGCCTCCTGGGAGCTGAACGTCCCTCCGGTGCTAAAAGTCTCTGAGCTCTGAATCTGGGCTTCTGTCCTGGAGGGCCAGTAAAGACTGCAGAATGGAGATGGACTCTGGACTCTGGTCAGAGTGCATCTCCTGAAGAGCCTGATGTGAACTGTGAGCCGATAAAAAAACAAAAAACCCTAAATCTCGCCCACATCCAAGGTGTGCTCCCCTCTGTGCCAGTTTCCTTTGAGTCTCACCACACACATCGTTTAATTAATCCACTCTGAAGTCTGTAGCCAAATTGTTATTCCATGAATGGAGCTGGGTCATGACCCCTACCTGCCTCTAAATACTGCTATACAGCCATGAAAACTTTGGAGTTATTTCTCAAAGGAAGTGTTCCTACAGTATATGGGCCCTTTTTTTCTTTTCAACATAAAAGCAAAAATAAGGGCTGTGAAGGATTAAATTGAATACAGAATCCACTTGGTGGTCCTGAGCCTAATCGAATTAAATTTCCATCCATTATTCCCAGATCCTTTGTCCTTCAAAGAAGAAAAAGCAGCGAGAGCTCTTTAAATCAGGTCTGGCACCCTGGGATCTGAAGACGCCTCTAGTTTTCATTCTAATCAAGCTCTCCATCTATTCATTTTCTTATAACTTTATCATTTCAAGATCACAGTGATCGGGAGCCGATCCCAGCAAGCTCTGGGAGAAAGCAGGATCCACCCCGTACAGGATGCCAGTCCATCACAAGGCACGCAGACTCAGACACACACTCACACTAGGCTCAATTTTCCCAGAAGCCAATTGACCCACCAGCACATCAGTGCACTGTTGGAGGAAACTAGAGCACCCAGAGGAAACCCTTATGAACCAGGGGAGAACATGCAAACTCCACACAGACATCACCCCAGGAATTAAGCTCAGGGCCCCAGGGCTGAGAAGCAATGATGTTAACCACTGCATCTCTGTGCCATCCTCAAGCTCTCCAGTAATTACTTTATCCTTTACCATCTTATTTTAAACATGATCCTTAGACACCAATTGAAAACCTCAAATAATCCCAACTGATTTGATGGCCTCAGGACTAGGGCTGGAACCCCCAGTTTCACAGGGAACTTTAGTGGTTCTCCAACACACTACGTAAACATGGGTGCTTATTTCGTGGTTGTGAAAACAGTGAACATGTAATTGCTGAATGCACTACAGTGCTTCTGCCTTCTCCCTTATTTCAGGAAGGGAAGGCTGTCCAACAGAAGAAATTCTGGGAACGCAGGAGACACGCCATGGAATAATTAGATTCTGTCAGGACAGATCTGAGTCATACAGCTGAAAAAGACACAGCAAAATAGCTCAGACATTTAACAGCCAGGAGGCAGAATTTAAACTGGTCCAGGGCAGCTCAAAGGATAAATTGGTGAACGGATTCAAAGCTCTTCAACCAAACTCCCAGAGGATCACTGTGGGGCATTGGGTTGGAACTGACCACATTGTTCAACTAAATGGATGAATTTAACACAACCCCTCTGCCAGACAGCTAAAATCATTTACAGAACCTTGAGACAGGTTCATCTTGAAAGGTGCCCAATTCAGACTCTATGGGAAGCTGTCCTTAACTCATCGCAGAAAAACAGAAAAATCAAAGAGAACTAAAAGCGAGTGATTTTAGAAATTTGAACTGTCCTCCGTGGTTGGATTTTAGGACTCTTGAAACCCACGGTGTCCAGATAACAGCTGTCCTGCTACCTGTAAATAACACACCAGCACAAGAGGAGGACATTTCTAGTGAGCAGAAACAAGAAGCATTAGGCTCGTTGATTGTGGTCTGTAGAAGGCTTGAAGTTAAGAGCTTGCCAATCATTCTCTTCCCACCTGGTTCAATTAAGAGACGGGCAGCAACATCATCACAGCTGAACAGAATTAAGAAGGAGATATTAACAATGACAGGTAAAAAAAAAAACACAGCTAGTTCCTACTGCTCTCTGGCACAAGGGCAGGAATGACTGCCACCTAGTGGACAGTAGATGCCAGTTTGTTACAAACATTGCAGCACTGCTTGGTAATTGAAAGGTGGAGGAACGTCTAGGAATTAAGGGTTTGTCAGACGGCAGGTGACAGAAAGGAAAGGAGTGTGACTGGAAAGGCTGAAGGGACAAAAACTTGGTCTTCAAATAAACTACATTCTTAGAAATTTAAACAAAAAGGTTTGTCGTCAAGGAATATTAAAGGCTGTTTTATTTTCAAGTGCTAAATAAGGAGGGCTCTAGGAATAGCAGTACAAGAGTACGGGACATTTATCTGGTTATATATTATTGGTGGGTTGGCAAGAGCTTTGGTGCCATTACTTCTACAGGAATAGTGCATAATGGAGGGACCTGAGCCATTTAAACTGGGACATCCTAGCTAAAGCTGGCCACAACCCAAAGGGTTACATCACGAGAGGATTTGCTCCTATAGTCTGTTTTACATCCATTTTGCACCTCTGGCATTATGCAGGACTTAACTCTCCTAATAGTGTCAGTTCATACAAGCAGCTACGAGCACAGTTCATTACCTCAGACTTGCACATCGCTCATACATTTCCCAAGATGTTTGTAATTTATTTTATGCATGTAAGTTCTTAAGTCAACCCTGTGACCAGATATAAAAAATAGGAATCCCCAGTAGTTGTTTATGGTCCATCTGCCCCTGAACTTAGAACCACCTATTCTTACACGACCCAGCTGTCTGTTTGGGACATCCTTCCCTGGGATGCCCAGCTGTTTACCTGCAGAAACAGCACAAGTGCGACAGGGCTTCAACAACTCTAGACAAGACAGTGAGCACCAACCAGGGGAGTGACACGTCTGTGCGTGACATCACCACCAGCCCACAGCTGACTGGGATGCCCCAGGAGACGGCCCTCTCGCCAAGAGGGCCTGGGTTGGACTCGGACCACTTTACGCTGGCAGGGGAGATCGCGGACAGCTGAAGACCTGACCCACGCTCGAACCATCAGCTTCTGGGCATTGGAGCTCAGTCTGCAGCCCACGCAAGCCCCTACATACCAGTGGACAGAGTCATATTGGTACTTAGGAAGTTTAAGATTAAAACACTATAATAATTTATAATAAACTACTGGACCTCATTCCCTGGCTCACCTAGGATACTGCAGAATAAAAAAACACAGAAAAACTATATTAAAGACTAAGAGAAGGTAAACTTCTTCTTGCATCCCGATTTGGCAGTAAACTTGCACTTAGAAAACAGATTCCATGCTGAACAGTAAAAAAGGGACACAAAATGATCTGTCTCTCCAGGATATAGCCTCTTATTTGGCAGGTGTTTCTTTGTTCCCATTTCCTAAGTTTTCAAAATCGATCATGGCAGAAATAGAATGATCAACCAGGTGAGATCACTCCGGTTGACTCGGGAGAGAACGGGACCCAGGGGATGTGCTCCTCTTGACACGCCAGCCCGTGGATCCATTAAGTTAACTGACACAGCACCAGAGTGGAGATCTAGCGCCACCTGGAGCAGAAGGACGGCTCTGCCTGGCAGGTGGCGGGAGCCTCTTGTTTGCCAGAAAGCTGAGGGAGCACTGACCAGCTAGGCCCCACCCTCCCCCCGTGCAGCTCTGCCCATGCTGCGCCCACCCTGGGGCCCTGAACCAGCACTCAACCTTGCTGACATATTTTTGATGGACTGAGCGAGATAAAACATTTATTTCACTCCATGGGTTGCTAAAGCCCCCAAAGCAGTTCTGCAAAATTAAATGCAGATCTAACCCAGAGGACTTGGAAAAACATCAGGAGACTTAAGGAAAGAATGTTTTGGGAATCACAGCTTGACTTTATTCAGAGACAGAAGAGTAAGGGTGAAGTCCATCACCCATCATGTTTACACCGGCCTTTCCCTCCAGCACCCTTTCTTCCACTAAAACACAGTTACAGGCATGCAAGGACTCCCTGGGATGACCAGGTGTCCGTTTCAGCATAACGTACTGCAATCCACTGGGGCAGCAAGGAGTTAACATTTTTGTGCGCAACACTCCAGCAGGAGGAGAAGCTGGCAACGCCAATGCTATCCCCCGTACACACACACACCTTTCAGAAAAAGAAAATCTTCTTAACATAAATGAAACACTCGACAGCAGGAGTTCCAATTGCCAATGCGCCTGGTAAAACACCTTCCTTTTCACCACCTTGCATGCGCCGTATACTGGAAAGCACTTCTTTCCGAAGGTTTAATTCGTCTAATTCTAAGGCTGAAGTCCTGCAACAGGTGCTCTTCGCACCACTGCTGCAACTTAGAAATGGTTCAGGATCCCATCAGTCGCTGGACAGACAGTTTCGATCTCTGTAAAGTGAGGCTGCACAGTTTCCATCTCTTTGGACATTGTGGGGCCGTTATCTCAGGGGGAGTGTTGCCGATTGGCAGCATGCGCTCTGCTGTACTGCATTATAATGAACGACACAACGACCTGTCAGAATTTCCTCCCGATGTCCCACATTACACTCAGGTTTTTACACTGCAGCACAGCCAGAGGCATCGATCTGCCTTGGCTTCTCTCCCCCGAGACGACCCGAATTACATCTCTTGTGGGCAGGGTGTTCACACAGGCAATTCAGGAAGCACCCCAACCCTGTACGGCCCCCTCCTCCCGATCCCTGTTACATTACTTTGTCACGAAAGCGTACATCAATTTACAACAACAACAAAAAAAAAAGCCACAGAATAGAAGACAGTCCCGTCTTGCATCCCACACCTAAACAACGCATATCATTGGTTTCAGACGAAATACACAGCAAAAAAAAAAAACAACACAGAAAAGCAGAGTTATACTAAGCCATTTTAAAATAAAACGGACGCACACCGGGTGACCTGAGCCTGTCCGGTCTTCTCTTCCCCCCCTTGTGTTTCGGCTGCGAGGCGCCCCACCTCCCCC